AAAAAAAAAAAAAGAATGATAAATTAGGATACTGAGAATATTTATCTGGCCTCAATAAAACTTATTTTTTTGTATTCACTGAAAATAAAGCATTTCAATGTAATTGATATGTTGCATGTATTTTTTGAGTCACTGGCATTTCTGTGGAAATGTTCTGCATATGGAAGAGCGATGTTCAATCATCTGAAAAGGATGAACACATGTCCATTGTTATAATTATTTAATTTCTCTTGGGCTAATTAAAGTACTTTTCAGGTTAACTAAATGTGTTACTCATATGAAATTCTAATAATTGCATTGAAGTTTGTAGTTGTAATGTGATCAAAGTGGAAAAGTTCAAGAAATTAAATTTTTTGAAATGCGCTTAGTGAAATTCATAAAAATCAAGGTTTTGATTTATCAAACATATTTGATAACTTAAAACTGCTGTTTTCAGTGTGGATCACTGAAAAAGCAGCAGTTTTATAAATGAAGTAGGTAAAAAAGCTTGTAGTTCTCAAGACTTGGGTTTTGAGCAACATTTCTGACAATTTGCCTGGTATTTAACAAATTCTCAAATACTTTATTGTAAATAATTCCATGACATAAGATTCAGTCAGATTAAAACTTTAACTGTAGAAATCATTAAGACTTTTGAACCTTGACAAAATTTAAGGGACAACTTTATATCGGTAAAAAGTTCATGTGACAGAGTTGGTTTCTTTTTTTTTTTTTAAACTAAAATTTTTAAAATACTGTGCACACATTTTGTCCACATTTCAGGTTTAATTTATTTAAGCTATGTGTATTTCATCTTTCTTACTAATTTACAACCCATTTCTTCAAAGAGATTTGTATCCTGGAAAACTGACGGAAAGTAATGCATTAAAATATTTCCTTTAGCTGATCATTTTGCAATTTATTCTTTAAAATAAACTGTCTCAGACACTGCATGATTTGGCATTCCCTTCTGTTCTTGTTCATTTGAGTTGATCAGGAACAAAGCCTTAATAAAACAGATCCAGAATCTCTGAACTCTCCTGGCAATCACCAAGTCTGTGTCCTGTACAAATGACATTTTATTTTATTTGCAGTCAGAGTAAAAATAGATTTTCTGATTTAAATCACAAATCTGCTTTTATGGTTGAGATTCCAGGACCATAAAGACTCAGCTGGAATTTTCTCTCGTCATTCTTCTATCCAACTTTTGCTTGTGAAATACATTTAGTACTGCTAGTATGAACAGTTTTTTTTTTTTTTTTTACAAATACATTTGGAATAACTTTCTCTCTACATCAGCAGCACTGACTTGACTCAGGCCGAGTCAAGGTCTTCTGAGGAAAAGCAAGAGAGGTCAGTTCTGCCAGGAAAACAAGGTTCCCTTTTTATTCACAAGACAAGATAGCATTTCTGAGTCAGCACAAATCTAAAGGGTATATTGACTCCAGACTGTGTGCTGAGACTCGTGCTAAATCTGTCCGGCACTAAAATCCAAGGAGGCGACGTCAATTTCAGTGGCACAGCTGCTTCCTGGGACAGAGTTCAAATCTGCCTTCCATCCTCTGATATTTACTCAAATCAGCTTTTTGTTGCAATTCTGTAAATGCTTGCTGAAATGACTTCAGTCCAGTTTTCTTGTGAATTTGACTTGGCTGAGATGAAGGAAGAAGAACTTGGCTAAATTAACGACGGCATTGAATTTAATGTTGACTGGCAGCAGATAGAAGACATCTCATCTAGTATTTTCCTCTTCTAAATCTAATTCTAATAAAAGTCAGAAGGCCGATACTGTTACTGATGACGACAGCAGATTACATGGCGATGCTGCTACTTTTGTGTCATTAAAACACCTGTTGTTACATGGAGGAATTGTTTTCTTTTTTCCATTTTGTTACAGTTCTGAAATATTTCTAATTTTTCAGGGTGTCTCACCTACCAACCTGATGGAAGATTACTGACTTGTGGCATACAGAAAGTACTATGCACTTAATTTATGCGTGCTAATAATTTAGCGAGATCTCACCTACATGTTGTAAAGAAAAGTGTTAAGGTGGAAATTTGGAAAATGAGACAGGACCTCAACTTTAATCTGCCATAAAATTTTAAATGCTTCTTAAAAATTAAAAATAAAATATCCTCCAACATTATACTGTCCATATGTCAGATTAAATTATACACAGGTGGATTTATATAGACTTACTATGTAGGTGACGTCTGGATGTCAGAATAAATGTGTTTGAACACAAATGTATATCACACTTTTTAGATTTCAATTGCAAATTAGAAAACAGCCCTTTGTTGGCCTATTGCATAAAATCCCAATAGAATATGTTGAAAGTTGTGTTTTTAATGTGATGAATTATGAAAAGTCAAATTGAATTTACTTTTGTAATACATTGTCCTGCATTGGCTCAGATGGTTCAGCAGACAACCTAAAAGATAATAATAAAAAAGAACCTTAAAGAATGGAATAATATGTTTGGAAACGCCACAAAAACAGAAAGCAATCTTGAAATGCATGATCTCAAACAATTAATGCGTGACACTTGTGTCAAATTTCAAAAGCTTCAACATCTCACTTCTGACTCAAAGGATTAATGTATTATTATAATTGGAAATTCAAAGAATACTGAGGGTAGTTCAGGGTAATCCATGCACCGTGCATATTTGTTTTTATCTCTAATGTTCTTTTAATCATTTCAATTCACATTTTGTTCAGTAAGCTGTCTTAGAAGAAGTCCAACTTCTAAAAGTTTGCTAGATCCATGACCATATATTTTGAATCAATAGCTCCTTAGTGTTATCTCTTAATCTTTAAATTCAATACTAATGGAAGTGTTTTGTTCTGAATAAAACGCCCGGTCTAATCAGACGAAGTCATCATTTGCTGGACAGGTACAACGTGATGATCTTTGTCTCTTCGTTTATTCAGAGTCTACGGGTGACACGGATTGAGGCTCTCTGATCTTTGACTATGACTGGCATGTGTGGCTGGCTGCTAAGGGCTCCATAAAACACATGGCAGGATGACAACATGGTGACAGCTGACTGGCTCAAAAAAGCTTCACAGGAACGATGTTGCACACGCCAGACCACCAAGAAATAAAATAGAGGGGTAGGGTAGAAGTAACCTTAAAAAGATCAGCAACTTGAGTCTTTTATTTCATCTGTTCCTCGTGCTCGAATTTAAGGTCACAAACTGACACGGAGGAATTCGCCTACAGGATTTTCTTACATAGCACATCAATTATCTTTCCATCAATTAAGGCCAGTCATTCAGGTCTGGGAGAAGCTAAACAGCCCAAACAATTACTCTACCACTACCATGTTTGACTGCAGGCACATGTTTTCCTGAAATGCTGTGTTAGTTTGACCGTGAGTGTACCAGGACACCCATCCAACTAAAACCTCATCTTTTTACAGTTGACTTTAATTGATTATATAGTCATATTTTTAGTTTTTTGTTTTTTTGTTCACTGCATTTTGTGATCTAAATCTCGAAAAGTGTTACATAACTAAAGTTTTACTTACTTTCTTTGTGACCTTTGCAGACTGATAAAAGTCAGCTACTGTTTCTCATCTGCTCTCTAATTTTTTAGTTTATGTTTCAGACAGGCCAAGCATGCATAATTTATTGATTCTGCAGCTCTGACAGAAATCCTACCTGGATGTGGGGGTGAAATTGTAGCCTCCAAAAAATATGTAATTTGTCACATTTAATTTCTGATTTATTAAGAGGGCAGTAACTTTTTGTAATAGAGCCTGGTTGGTTCTGGTCAACTATCTGCCCTTCATAAATGAAAGCATTATTTGAATCTTTTTTTTTTCTTTACTTTTATATTCATTTGATAATCTTAAATATTTAAACCTGATGAAAGAAAGAAAAAAACAGAAGAAATCTCTTACGGAACAAATACTTTTTTTTTTTTTTTTTTTTACAGAACTCTATGAGGCCTGGATGGTGTCCAACAGGTGGCACACACTTCATCAGATCCTAAAATATACACTCAACAAAACACATGCAGATCATAGCAGCCAATGGAAGAGTAGCATCATGGGAAAGCCTGAGAGTTCATTTTTATATACACAACTTAAAATAATACCGTTTAGTAAAGAAATATTTCTTCTTCTCTTATTTTGCTGTAAATATGTGCAAAAGTCGAGCTACTGTAACTGACAGTGGCTCTTTAATGGCCAACCATCCACTGTTCTTAACAGCAGGCTGTGTGTGACAGCTGCGACTGAGAAACAGAACTGTTACAGTGGGGGTTGTTTAAATGCCACAGCTTCTCTATTGTCCCCCACAAACAGCATCGCTTTCCCTCAAGCCCATTTGTGACAGAACTCTGAGGAATCCTCAATCCACCACAGAAGCCGGACAAGCTTAACGGTTTGGTCGTGCGGTTGATCCTGTCCGATTGCTGCCCCGGTGTTGAGCCGTGTTGTAAGGGAGCCGCTGAAATGATCAGCGGAGGACGAGCAAGCCGCGCTGGCTAATGTGACACGCCTCAGAGTGAGAGGGGATTTCACAGGGGCTTATCCAATTGCCTCTGTGTGCTGTGTGTGAATAGTTGTCATGCTTGAAATGCTACTGTAATTCATCGGAACAGACCTCTGCATGAACAAGGAAGCACATTTGAAATCAAGTTTCACTGTTTGATGAAATTAAATAAAAGTTTGTGATCAGTTTGTTTTCTTATCTCAGTGTTTTTACTTCATCTTTCTAAGTGATAACTGAGTGAAGATTATCTCCCAAGTAACCCCCCTTGGAGCACTACTACTTCTTGACATGCCACTTCCTCTTGGAGGGTGATAGAAATAGGAGAGGACGTCTTGCTGCGAGGTGTGGGAGTGGGAAGGTTCCTCTCTGACGCCTGCACCCCATGTATAGTCATACAAGTGGTCAAATGTCCTGGGAGAGCGAATCGGTGTGGAGATTTGAGAATTAACAAAGGGCCCGTGTTGGCAAACAACTGCAGCCCTTTCCAAAAAAGCATTGGGTGTCCAGTATCCGACTTATTTGACCCTCAACAGGCTCTGCGACTTCGCACTCCAGCTAGGTGTTCGATGTGGCTCAGACGCTCCCATCTTTTCTGTTCAGGCTCACAGATTTGCAGCCAACGCAAAACACTAAGCAGCCATGGATGCCATCAAGAAGAAGATGCAGATGCTCAAGCTTGACAAGGAGAATGCCTTGGACAGAGCTGAGCAGGCCGAGTCAGACAAGAAAGCATCTGAGGACAGAAGCAAACAGGTGGGTGTCTGGTTTGAAACCTGTTCTTGTGTTTTTGCACACAAGATGCCTTGCACAGCTTGTACTATTGTGCCTGTGCAGCCGTGTGTTTTCATGTATCGGCTCAAGACATAAGAAGCTTTCATGTTGTAATTATTTTCTATGTTATATGATGACTTTATGCATTGAATATGTAGAGAACAGTTACAGTTGTATTTTATATGCAAGACCTGAGGCTGTCATATAAAGTTAGATGACAAGGTAAAGTGTCTTTTGAGGACAACAAGAACAATTTATTTGAATTTTGTGATTGCTTAAAGCAAACGTTTCTGGTTTCTCTGTGCACCAGCTTGAGGATGACCTGGTAGCACTGCAGAAGAAGCTGAAGGCCACTGAGGATGAGTTGGACAAATACTCCGAGGCCCTGAAGGATGCTCAGGAGAAACTGGAGCTCGCTGAGAAGAAAGCCACAGATGTGAGTTTGAACTGAGGGGAGAAACACTTTCAGTAAAATAACGCTGCTCCCCATACAGATTGACTCTAATGCTGAAGTAATATATTACAAAATGCACCTATGGGTTGCATAGGAGGAATTTAAGGGTGCAGGTAAATTTAGCCCTTGTGCTGGATATGGTAATGTCACAGTTCACAGGCTAACTGTTGTGCCATTTGGATGGATGTTATTGCCAGTGTCCAGTTTCAGTCGGGCGTTTTTACAGGCACATTTTGGACTGAAAAAAATCCTTGAAATATTTGTGGCCTTTCTGGGATCGGTTGTCACACCCAGGGTCAGATGGATCAAAACTGTTGATTTGGTTTAATGTTTAGCCAATTAGCCTATGCCATTATTGAGTTAAAAAGCTCATAAAACAACACTTTGCTCAAAGATAAACCTTATAACAATCAGCTTAGAATAAACTTAGGTTTATAGGTAGTTCTAAATTTATAGACTGACCAATGAAGTTAACGATAACAATTAAATATTTAACAGATGTTCCATGAAGTTTCTGTTTTCTTCTAAATAAATAAATAACTTGATGTAGAAAAAAATCCATTTAATAAAAAAAAGAACATAAAGTTTTCTGGTATCCTGGTATTCTGGTGTCTTAGAACATTAAATACTTTCTTTTGTACATTTGGCAAATCAGGGAAAAAAATCTCCTGAAATAAATATCTCTTTTATTGGTCACTAGTGTGGACAACTATTACAATTTTTTTTTTTTTTTTTTTTTTGTATGTGTGATATACTTGCATATCAGCCACTTCATCAGTGGATTACTCTATACTCTACACTGTAATCCACTCCATACTGTAGAGTAATCCTTAGTAATCTACAGAAGCCTATAGAGTCTACAAACTTGCAACCTACTGTGATTAGATTCATTCATTTTGTTCTTGGAAGTACTGCAACAATGTGCATGAAAAAAATTGTTGTTAGGCTGAAACATATTGTTTTCAAGAGAAAACAATGTGTTTTGCAGATTTGTCCAGTTGCGTAATTTACAGTGTCTGTTTACATTATAAAGTAAAAGTGTAATGAATTGCAGGCAGGGAAGTGAAACCAATCTCTATGAAATCTCAGCAGGACAGTAAACGCAGTCCCTAAAAAAATTGCAGAAAAAGGAAGAATTAGGAAACACGGTGACAGTGACACTGACCGAGATCAGGATGGAGAAATAGTTGAAGAAGCTGAGGAGCGGGGATTTGCAATGTGGCAGAACCCAGAGACAAAAGAAAACCTCACTTTAGTGTTTTAGTTAGTTTGTGCATCTCCAAGTTTATGGACAACTCTCATTTCCTTATTGTGTTGCGCTACAAACAATATTTTTGTTGTTCTGTTGTTAAAATACAGAGTTCAACAGGGAGGGTTTCAAGAGTCAAGAGCAAAGTGCTCGGTTAAATGGAACCACAGCATACAGAGAGCCCAGGCTCAGATTAGGATTATTGCTGAATTACCATCAACAATATTATAACATATTAAAATATGTGTTTAACAGAAATATTTTTATTATATGCCCATCTTTCACTCAGTGTACAAAAACACCCCAAAAAGTCTATTTTGCTTAGTTTCATCTGCATTCCAGAAATTAAATTTACACAGACGATTTGACAAATGCATTGCAAACTTACACATTAAGAACTATAGGGAAAATAGCTTTATGGCTTGAAAGGTATGTTAAATACAATTGTAATTTAAAGCTAATTAGATCCCCTTTCCTGCTTGTTTCTGGGCTGGTAATTGAGGTAATTTTTACAATCACTACTGGAATTTGCAGTATGCCAACACAAAAAAGAAGACAGTAAACACAACAAATACATTACAATAAAAAATGTAAAATATGTGTCAGTGTTTATTTATTATTACAATTTTTATGCTTAGGCATAATTGACAGGAAAAATGCACAAAGGAAAAATGCTCCGAAAGATTTCGTAAACATTGCTGTCCTTATTTAGAAGTCAAATTAATTCAATTAACAGTGCAGGAGTAAACTGTGATGTCTGCGGCTATGATCTTGATGGGACTGGCTCAATTTAAGATTCGGGGATGCAAGTCAAATTGCAACACGATTATTTGCATCTATATCTCCACAAATCCACAACAAACGATATAAAACCACAACTAAAGACTACACAAGAACAATCCATGAGATTTATTTTTTTTATTCGGTGGACACATTTTAAGGTTTGCGGGTAAAATGAGTTACTTCCGGGGCTGGTGGCACGTCCCAATCCTCATCAGTGGTTGATTAAAGGCGGTGGGGGCAGGGATCAAACGCGAAGCATCCCCAACAGCGGGCGAGGCAGCCAGCGCACAGCCGGGAGAAAACTAGCTTAACCGAGGCAAAATTAAACGACAAAGCGGAAAAAAAAATGGCCGGTGGAAGCTCCCTGGAAGCCGTGAAGAAGAAAATCAAGTCGCTGCAGGAGCAGGCCGATTCGGCGGAGGAACGGGCATCGTTATTGCAGCGGGAACTGAACCAGGAGAGGACTGCGAGGGAAGCAGTAAGCTGCTAATGATTTAAGGCAATTAGGGCTCTTGGCTGCGGGAGGCATTAGGTGCAAAGCTGGTCAAAAAGCGTGGCCGCTAGGCCCCAACACCCCGCGGTTCCTGTTCGAACAGAGCTGAGTGGGTATCAAGCGAATGAGTTTGAGCTCAGCGTCGGAGGTGAGGACAGGATGGTGTCTGGAAGGGACACCACCCTGAGCGCTCCGGAATAAGAGGCTGACGTGAGAGCAGGTCCTCAGAGAGAGATAAAACCCTCACTAACGGTGCCACCAGCTAGTTTAAGTATGGGGAGGTGCCTTTATCCTCAACTAAGCCTCGTTTTATTTATTGCTCAAAATAATACAGTAGGAATTGCGCAGTTTACGAAATTGTACAGCATTTTCTTCATGCATATTGCGAAAACGCCAACTTAAAGTGAGAGAAATGCCGTTTTACTCCCTATCATGCATCTTAACATCCCTCCCCCACTTGCTCCTAGAGAAGCCCGTCTTGTTTTCCAGCATAGACCTGATTTATCAGCGCTTGACCAATAAACTTGATCTGATTTTGGTTGTGTTGCTCTCTCCAAGGCCGAGGGAGATGTAGCTTCCCTGAACAGACGCATCCAGCTGGTTGAAGAGGAGCTGGACCGAGCTCAGGAGCGCCTGGCCACTGCCCTCACCAAGCTGGAGGAGGCTGAGAAAGCTGCCGATGAGAGCGAGAGGTGGGTGGTCAACGTCTTTTTACTCATCAAATACAAAGGTCATCATTTAAAAAAAAAAGAAAAAAAAAGGTCTGAGTCAAAAACTAAAAAAAAAAAGGACTTGGTTGAGCAAGTACTCAAAATTAGGGGGTTTCTATTTTTTTTGGTCAGCCAACAAGACTGTACAATGATGCAGGTTTTTGTTTCACTAGAAAAAACGGATGAAGGCTAGAAATAAACTTTGATGCGTTGTGACTTTTGTGATTTCTTTTTGTTGAGTTCAAAACCATTACATCTACATATTGTGTTTTAAGCTTTCAAATAAAAGTTTAGAATCAAATCGGAACACAGACAACTGGAAACGTGCATCAGTCAAGAAAAAGCTTTATTGGTGCATCTTTAGAAATGAATCACTGCATATTCATGTTAAAACTATTTTAACTATGCTAATTAGGGTTATGTTTTGTGAATTTCTTGTCTTATTGTTGGATTCTCTGGATCACTTTCTTTTGTTTTCAGAATGATATGTCCAGGAATTGAAACCTGTTAGAAAACCGTATGAACGCGTGTCACTGCTTGTAGAAAACTACATCATCGGTTCCAACAAGACATTAGTCTCACTTGTGTTGTGCAGGATTTAATCTGCTTTACTATTGAGATGCATCATGCTGTGATGTTCAGTTCACAAGAAAACATTGCTTGCACTTGCCTACAATCTTTTTTTTGTGTGTGTGTTTTTTGCTTTTCTCCATTCAGAGGCATGAAAGTCATTGAGAACCGAGCAATGAAGGACGAGGAGAAGATGGAGCTGCAGGAGGTCCAGCTGAAAGAGGCCAAACACATCGCTGAGGAGGCTGACCGCAAATATGAGGAGGTGAGCTTCTCAGCTCCTTACTGCACTTCTTAAGTGTTTTCCACCCTCTTTTATCAGACACAGCAGCCTCCACGCTGCCTTCGCGTTCACAGTAGAAGCATAAAAGTATTTTGGATCCGTTTGGTGAAAGAACGCCGTGCTGTGAGTGCAGGTGGCCCGTAAGCTAGTGATCATTGAGAGCGACCTGGAACGTACAGAGGAGCGTGCCGAGCTGTCCGAGAGGTAGCATCCCCCTTTCTCCATTTGTTATTTGTGACAACCTTAAATAGGATTTACAATGTACTTTGTTCTTTGCCGACACTCTACAGTAAATGCTCTGAGCTGGAGGAGGAGCTGAAGACCGTGCAGAACAACCTGAAGTCTCTGGAGGCCCAGGCGGAGAAGGTAGGCCGATCGATTAGGTTTGATGACATCTTGATGTAAACTCGTAGGGGAGATGATGAGTGCAGCAGGTTTTCTGATTTCAGTCATTGTTTGTAACCACAGTACTCGCAGAAGGAGGACAAATACGAGGAGGAGATCAAGGTTCTCACAGACAAGCTGAAGGAGGTGAGTGAGCTACAGCTGTGCTGAATTCATCTCTGCATGTGTTGCGTTTCAGAAAATATTTCCGTTTCATCCATCCTATCTTGTCTTCGATTAGGCATTTTGCGAAAAGGTCTGCCGTACTGGCTGCTTTTTAACATCTGCTTAGTTAGCACTTTTAATTTCAACCCATTAAGGCTTCAGTTGTTAATGTAGACCTCTTGCTGGCGGTTTGCTGACGTTGCTGTGTTGCTCCGCTCAGGCTGAGACTCGTGCTGAGTTCGCTGAGAGATCAGTTGCCAAGCTCGAGAAAACCATCGACGACCTGGAGGGTATGATTACTTTATTACTTTCACTTTTCATTTGCCTAATGCTTGATTTCAAATTTAAAGGGAATTTCTATTTATTCATGCAGTCAGGTAAACAACATAAGCTGTAACTGCTGAGACTTTAAATCAAAGTAAAATTAATATTTGTCTCTGAAAGATGCTAATGCACGTCAATGCTCGACAAAGGCGCTGTAAGGTTTAGTGTAGTCTGAATGCAGAAACGTTCACAGGGCAACTTTAGACCCAGACTAATTTGTTGGCACCTCTTGGTAAAGATGGTGTTTTATTGGTCCTCTAAAAGATGCCTTGAGTGTTTATGGAATAGTTATTCTTTACCATCTTAAGGCATTTTATCATCTCACAGTCTCTAACCTGAGTTAAGTGCCAAGCAGTTGGGCAAAGGACGGGGCTAACGCTAGGAACTGGGTTCATCCTAAACTTGAAATTTGGCTACAAACCATCCAAATGGATATGGTTTGTTGCTAAAAAGTTTGAACTTGTATGCATGGTATAAGATCTGTGACACTGTGGACCTGTTGAGTGTTGCAGAAGCTTTGAGAATCTTGTTAGAAACATGTTTCTAACAGAAACATAGAAACATGTTAGAAACATGTTTCTAGCAACATGTTTCTTGTTAGAGATGTGTTTCTAACAAGATTCTCAAAGCTTCTGCAACACTCAACAGGTCCACAGTGTCACAGATCTTATACCAGGCATATAAGTTCAAACTTTTTACATGACCTTTATGTACCAGGTAGATTTTTATGAAAATAATCAATTGCTCTCTACCAGAAAACTCGAAATGGGTTATTGAATATCATAATCCAAGATGTATGGACAAATCGCATGCAGTTAACATTTTTTGTGGTGACTGATCTCGGTTCCCAGACCTAAATCTTGCAGCTCAACCTGTGGGCTGAGCTGAAGAAGAGAAAACGCAAAACTCTGGACAATTTAGAGTTTCTGCAAATAGGAATGCAACGGTCCATTTTTGTACTTTTAAATATTATGGTAAGACTAATTGATATCCCCCATTCACAAAAAAATGAGAGGAGGTGTAGTGCAAAGTATTTATAGAAGGAGTGCCAACAATTGTCATGAAGGTCTTAGTTATGCAATTATTTTGGCATTTGTTTTCCTATAGTCTAAATGGGCCTAAAATAAGGAAAATGTTCATTTATCTTAAGGGTTTTTACACATTTCCAGTAGCACCAGGAAATGTTCCATGCCTGTCTGCATGGTGAGTTATTAATCATAAGAATAAAAGGTATAAGCATGAAATTGTTCATGTTGGCAGTATTTGTCACTGCGCTGTGGTTTGCCACTGTTCAGTCCTCGGCATTCATCACAGGGTCACGGAACGTGAAGCAGGTTTTTCCGACTCCTCAGGAATTTGACCCGACATCAACAGCTGTTCCTTTCCTCATTTCTGCACCTCCTTCCTTTCTTTTAGCCGTTTCTATTTTCCTTTTTACTTCTATGCTCTGACACTTATATTTTCTGTTTTTACACCATCCACTGCCACTTAATAATTACAACTTGGTAGATGAGCTGTATGCCCAGAAACTGAAGTACAAGGCCATCAGCGAGGAGCTGGACCACGCCCTCAACGACATGACATCCATGTAATTTACAACATGCTTGATTTGTGCTTTAGATCCCACTAGGGCTAACTGTTGTCTTAGTAGCTCCCCCTTGTGGCATGTTGATTGCAGTGAACTAGATTTGGCTCTAGATTTAACCTTTTGACTAACACCATAGGTTAGATTATGCAAATAGTTTTTTGGAGAGCCTAAGGAGTTGTTTTCTTTCTTACCCTCTCCTGCATTGTAACATTTAATTTCCCAACTTTCAAATTCTCCCTGCATCTAAGTTTTAGTTTTGCTTATTTTCTTTTTCCCCTCCAACATCTGTTCTTTTGTGTTTTCACAGCTAAACCTTTTTCACTCTTCACTGTGGAAGCTTGTCGATCATCATTTCACTCCTGCGCAGCTCAGCCCGACTTTCTGTATCTTTTTTTTTTTTGTCTATTTCTTTATTGCCCTGCCAGGACTGCACACCGGGCTTTTGCTGCCAGCACCCCTTGTTCCATGTCTTATGCAGATTTTTGAGCCATATTGCTTTCTGTAAAATAAACACTCTTTCATCTATGTCTATGATCCATCTTTTCCTTTCTGTTTTCATTTGGCTTTTTTTGTGTCTTCACTGTTTAATTTATTTCAATAGCTTTTAAATGAACTCTGTAGCTCCTTCCCTATTTGCTGTTTGTTTCTCTGTTTATGAGGACGGTAATGGATCATGGAACTCCTTGTCACTGGTTTGACTATTGAAGTAAATGGAGCCTTTTTAACACCATCAGCCATTTCCAGTTTGTGTTCAGAAGTTGCTGAATTCTAAGAAAATGAGTGGTTCAGTTAAAAAAAGAGAGCTTTAACATCATATTAAGCCAGTTGGTGTTAAAAAATAGTTCAAGCAGTTAAACGTTGTGTATATGTGCCGTTTATTGCTTGATGAATGTGGAAGTTTTAACCCACCAAGGAATCAAGAGATCATGAGGTTATCATTATCCAAACTTTTTATATACGTTTCACTAATCTCAAAACGTCAAATCATTTGTGTTGTTTGTGTTGACGACTCAAAGGTGATCTTTCAGTGTCGACACCTTTGAATGCTTTAGACTATGCACACGGGGCATTCATCACTCTTCTCTCCACTAGGCATCTATAGTTGTAACCATAAAGTTCAAGTCTGTTTTTCTTTGTTTCAGGACTTTTATTTTGGTGTTTGCTGAGTGGAAAAACATATTCAGAGTCAAATTTAAGCTAATTTTTTGCATGTTAGTTTAGTTGAATATCAATGAAAAAAATTCAAACTTTACCTAATTTATTTAAAGTGTCGACTCCTAAGGGTATATATCGAGACAAATACCAGAGTATGTAAGCTTGTCAGAGATTATTGGTTGGGTAGGGCTTTACCTGAACACAGTTAAGATGTCTTCTGCTCAGTCTGTCAAGCGTGTGTGAGATTTGGTGTGCTGCTGCAGATCATTCAACATTTTTAACCAAACAACCTGGTCATGCAGTTGAACTTGGCAATTCTTTGCAAGCAAGACCAACTCTTAAGTTTGACTGGTGGTTTGGGTTGGTGAGTGAAGTATCAAGGGGCCTAGAAAAAAAAAAAAACTAATGTATTGTAAAGTCTTAAGACTGTTTGTTAAAAAGTAAATCCAATTAGAGGTATACATCTTTTAATCAGTTGTGGGAAAAAAATGATTAAGCAATTCATAAAGTCTGTAGTTTGCCAGGACAAAACTAGCAGTTTTTTTACCCAACTTTCTCCACTAACTTTGCCTTTATGTACTAACTTGTCTTCTGTCTCTTTCCCTTCTTCCCTTACTGCTTTCTGACGGTCAAGATCATCTATACAAGCAGCTTGATAAAAACCGTCTTCTGACCAATGAGCTGAGAGTAGCCTTAAATGAGGCCTAACCTGCAAAGGGTTTGCTTTATGCTGGCACTTTTTTTATGATGCAACATAATCCAAGAGCATTGTGGATTTGTTAGATTAAGCAGGTAGAGATTCACATCTACACCACAGAAATATAATCAAATTGTACATATTGCTGTATACTCGGATGCTAAAGTAGGGACATCAGAAAGTAATCATGGTGTTTTTTTTTTGTCTCTGAATTAGTGAGTTAAGTTTATTTTACTGCAGGTTTGACTTGCTCAGCCTTATAGCTGCTGGAGTGAGTTACTTCTACATGTAGCGTTTCACAAGCCCCAAAACAACTCTCACTTGTTTTGGGGCTTGTGGTTCTAAACAAGAGAATCGGTAAGATTTGCAATTCACCTCCAGACTGAGGTCTTAAATATAAATAAAACACCAAGTAGGGTTTCTACACAGTACTAGATTAACCTATTTAAATGTGTAAAAACCCTCATTTAAATTTGTGACAAATGACAATAACTTGGTTAAGTTAATTCATATCTAATATTGGAGATAAAAATTTTCTCACTTTTGATCTCTAACAAACTACAAAAAGTCAGCTGAGACCAGATTCTTTGGGTAATGGAAGATGCACATCTAAGCTGAGTTCTTTCAAAGTTAAAATAACTCCCAGTGTGTAGTAAAAAGGATGAACACGTTCAAAAAATATAGCAGAATGTAGTTTAAGACCCACTGTGGAAAACTGGACTGACTTTCTGAGTATTAAAATTAAGATTATTAAATTTAAGACCACACAGAAACCTTGGTTGAATATATTTTAACCTTTTTTTTTTTAACACAATTTGTCATGCAGTAAAAATTAAGTTTATATTTCTGCTTGATTTTTAGACTGAGAGGCTGAAGTGGTATTTCAGCTGTAATGGATTTGTTTCAAAACCTAATTTCAAAGAAACAGATTTAAAGTTATAATTATTTTTAAAAAGTTGAGCACTGTAATTAGTCCCACTAAATGCATTGGAGCCTAGACTTCATCTCTGTCAATAGCTTGAGATAAACCTTGTCAAATGTTTCATTAATTTGGGTTTCTGGTACTAGTTCACAGCATGAAGCTTTTCACATTTACTTGGTGTGAACACTTAATATGGGGACTGAGGGAGGAGAGGTGAAATAGATTTTGTTTTTGGCTCATCAGCATGAATGATTTTTTTTTTTTTTTTTTTCCACCAAAACCTTTTCTCTGCACTGTTTATCTAATGGTCCTAAACTGATATAATGCTGTATTGACAGACAAACTCAGACGCGCTAAAGAAGAGGGCCTGAGCATTAAGCAGATGATGGATCAGACCCTACTGGAGATGGTTAATATTTGACCCAGCTCTGTTCCTTTCCACTACCTGACTTCACATGTTCTAAATGACCGACTCCCACATGCTGCTGCTACGGTGGACACGTGGGTCTGTGTTTAGCTGTACCTCTGGCATTGTTGACTACAAGCTCTGTATAAAGTAGCAGAAAAGGCATTGAGCTCCAGCTCAGCTGCACTGTTCATATTGCACGCTCTGTTCAAAGACCTGTTTAAGTTCACTGTACATGTCCAATGGTTTACATATGTGTTGGGATTTTGCACTTTTGATAAAAAAAAATACTGCACATTGTCTTTATGAATGAAGCCATAATTTAAGCCAAGCCTGTATAAAAGGGACTTTTATTATCTGTACTTTTGTAAGATCATGTATGTGTTGTTTTTTTTTTGTTATAAACTTGCATTCAATGTCTGATCTTTTTCCTTCTGAAGTCCAAGTACTTCAGCTACGTGAAGCAAACACTTGTTCTCTGCACCATTTCTAACATTTTCTCCCTTGGAAGCTAATTTGCTTGTTTTCCCAGACATTTTTATCTTGGAAATGTATGAATAAAAGATTAAACCAGATCTTGTTTTAATTTTTATGTTCCTTGACTAAAAAAAGTGACAAAACTAGAAAATGTATGTGATGTTACAGCCACAAGCTTCATTGATCTTTTTGTGGGGGGAACTTTGTGATGTTCCCCCCCCCCCATTCTCTCCCTTTACTTTAATTGTAAAGGGAGAGATGAATTGTTTTTTAATTTAAAATTTTTAACAAGGCTTTAGTTGTTTAAAAACTTTAGCAGTTCTTATGCAGTCTGAGATGTTTTCTTTGACAATTTATTTGCAGTTTGAATAAATGGGGAGAATTTTTATTTTTTTTTATTGCGGTTTGCTGTTATACCCAGGCTTTTCCTTGAAAGGACTTACAGGAAAAGTCTTTTGTCCTAAAGGACAAATGTCTAAACATGACTTTAAATTTATTATGTTTCATCTTTAGTTTGCCAAATCCCAACTTTTTAAATTTTTAACCATCAATTTTTATTTATTTTTAAACTTGCTGACTGCATGCATATACATTCAAACCCCCTGAAACCATTTTGACATTTAAAATTTTAAACCTGAAATTCTTGTGAAACTGAATTTCACAAGAATTTCTGTGATCTTTTAGTTTCTGGTTTAAAAAGCTGAACATTACACTAAATGCTTTTTTTTTTATATATATATACCTTTTATAAGTCATAATGTTCACAATCTGCTGTAAAGTCTGCATTTATTCTAGAATATCTCAATCCTAATTTGTCAAATACATTTGATGCACAACTTGAAATGGAGTTGGCTCAAGTTCAGTACAAATGCCAGAAACTAAAATGGCTACAAATCTCATGAGCTGAAAAAGGGTAGCGTGTCTTCTCTGGGTCAGGGGGGTCGTCCTGCCTCAAGTGGAGGAGTTTAAGTATCTGGGGATTTTGTTCACGAATGAGGGAAGAAGGGAGCGGGAGATCGACAGGCGGATTGGCGCAGCGTCTGCCGTGAAGCGGGCGCTGTACCGGTCCGTCGTAGTGAAGAGAGAGCTGAGTCAAAAAGCGAAGCTCTTGATTTACCAGTCGATCTACGTTCCCACCCCATCTATGGTCATGAGCTTTGGGTCATGACCGAAAGAACGAAATCACGGATACAAGCGGCTGAACTGGGTTTCCTCCGCAGGGTGGCTGGGCTCTCCCTTAGAGATAGGGTGAGAAGCTCGGTCATCCGGGAGGGACTCAGAGTAGAGCCGCTGTTCCTTCACGTCAGGAGGAGCCAGTTGAGGCTCGGGCATCTGGCAAGGATGCCTCCTGGACGCCTCCCTGGTGAGGTGTTCCGGGCACTTCCCACCGGGAGCAGGCCCCGAGGAAGACCCAGGACACGCTAGAGGGACTATGTCTCTCGGCTGGCCTGGGAACGCCTTGGGATTCCCCCGGAGGAGCTGGAAGAAGTGGCTGGGGAGAGGGAAGTCTGGGCCTCCCTTCTGAAGCTGCTGCCCCCGCGACACGATCCCGGATAAACGGCAGAAAATGGATGAATGGATGGATGGATGGATCTCATGAAAAATGACAGGTGGTTGGTTTTAAGTTTGAGGCATTGTAAGGTATGAGTATTACTCTGGAAGACTGTACCTGCAAGTGTAACATTTACCTCATTTCACATGTTTGCAGATTCCCTTCTCTTCCCAGACACAACTGTTGTCTGGTCAAAATATTACTCCACCTGAGCTATGGACTTTCTGGCCTTCCTCCAGAGTTACCATGGGACTGGTATTTAACAGTTGTGTCCGGTGGTGCAGGACAGAAAAGATGTCTGATTTCTGGTTGTGAAATGATAAAGGGTCAAGGTGTGAGTGTGGACATTTTGATAGACTCATTTAAACTCACATGACACTCTATTGCCATTGTGCAAATGAAAGGTCATAGCTTACAATGTACTTTTAGTCAAAATGTTGAAATGTCCTGCAAAATACAAGAGGAATTATATATCCTAATAAAGTATTTGGGGAAAAGTAAGAACAGTAACATAGCTTTTAAAATTGTGACAGTCATGGAAAAAGCCTGTGCGTTTTACCCTCCGCCCCGCTTGGGGCAGTATTGTAAATTTACAAGAGGGTTTAACAGCTGTGTAAGTGCAGAGGTAAAAGTCCTAGCTGTTCTGTATGACCGACCATCGGATATTGAAATATGAGTGAAAGTCTGGATTTTTGCGAACCTTTTCAAAATAGCAAGGCGGCATATGTGCTCAGCAATGTCGCCGAAGTGGTTGAGAGAGTTCTCATGTTTATACCAACCAAATCGCTTCTGCGGGTCGCCAGGTAATGGGAAATGTTTACAAGCTAAACGGCTATCTTGGCTAGCCATAATGTCTACTGAATAAAAAAATGAAAATATTTATCTAAAAAAAGTAAGCTGGAGAGTAACCTGAAAGAAAAATTGGTAGATGGTTATTAAAGTGAAACATTATATGCTTAGATTGTAAGCAGAGAAGCGTATTCTTTTTGATTGTGTGTGGTTTTGGTTGGGCAGTAGGTGAACGTGTGTGTCCTTGTTAGTGTGTGCAGATTGTGGAGGAACTGTGCCCGCAGAGTGCTTCGGACTCAGCAGCATCTGACCTGGGTGTCCGCCTCTGGACCCTCCACCACAGAGCTTCACTCTTTCTGCAGCATCCTGGCTGAAGAAGTGGAGGTAAATCGCAAAACTGAAAACCGTAAAAAGTATGGCTTGAGATAAACGGAAAAGGAGAAGTAGAGGAGAAACAACCACTCGGAAAGGGAAAAACAAATAACCTTTTTTGCCGGTTTAAAAGAAATCACACGGTAGTAGAAGCTATGTTGCTCCTTAACTTCGTTAATGTCCAGTTGTATCATTAAATTAGAATAATAATCCCAAAATGAATTTATTTCAGCAATTCAGAAAGTGAAACTCAATTGCACACAGTGTGACGTATGACGTTTATTATGGTTATTTTCATAACTATGGCTTACCGGAAATGACAACTCCAAATGCACTTTATCAGAAAACTAAATGTTTATTTAGACCAATCAAAAATTGGGGTTCTTAAAGGTAAAGTGTCGTTTTGCTGAAACGTATACCCATACAGTATATGCACTAAATGTTGGGTTGGCGCTCTATCGGTGCCACATAGATCAGCCTTTAGTAGATCTTGGGTGTTAAGGAATCCCAGGTTGCTTTAAAAGTTGCATTCAGCTCCTCTACATTGATGCCTCTGATGTTTCTCATCTTCCTCTCTACAATAGACCAACTCTGTTGGGTGTTTGGGCCATCTCCATGTGTCTTTCAAGGACAGGAGTCTGGAGGCCATACCAATACAGTAAAATATTCAATTTTTTTGAGAAACCAAATCCCATGTCTTCATTAATTGTAAACCGCAATCATTAAAATGATCTGACATAGGAGCTAACAAACACAACACTGTTTGTAATAAATCTGTATTAGTTTTACTTGTTTGAATTAATCAGTGAAATCAAAAACATTTCACTGATTTTCTAATTCATAAAGAAGTAAAACCTCTTATTGGTTGCAGTTTCAAATGCACATTTAAGAAGTTTCATACACATGTGTCTTTGCTGTTTTCTACTTGTTTAGCTAAGGAAGTAAAAGAGGTTTGTGCTGCATAATATTACAAATTCATGCAACTCTGATGGTAAAATCAACAATTATACTATTGTGGCAATGATGGTGACAGTTGTAATAGATCCACATTTTCCTGACAGGTCTGTTTCTCAGCCATCATTTTGATGCTTCCAACACTTTCTGTAAACTTAAACGTCTTGGACAGTGCCATCTTTGTCACCTTGTTCAATCTCACTGTAGTGAGATTGAACACAGAACATTGATTGTACGCTTTTAATATATCACGCACATTAATATTGTATTTATATCTGTTTAATATGTTGTAAAGCCCTACAATTTGTGCATTATTGCACAATTGAGGCAGATATCAAGCAGCTAATAAATCATACAGGTGGTAATACATCTTTGCATACTTATGGCTCTATGAATGATGAATCTGTTAGTTCTGGAATTGATTCGTCTACAGATTCTCCACAGGATATACCAGATTAAATGGAAGGTGCGTGAAACGTTAACCATTTTTGACAATGTTTCTCCATCTGATGAGGCAGTTGGCATAATAGATGTGATGTACAGTGACACATAAAGGATAATTAAATGTGTTGAGTCCTAGGTTAAAATTGATTAGAGCTACTTAAAAAACTTTGACTTCTTTTAAGATAAATGGAGTGAAATGAGGACTGACCTAGAAGTTTTTCACAGTTCTGTAACTTAGAGGTTGCCAGCAGATTGATAATGCTGCCTTTCAGCTATAATTGCTTCAAACAT